TCGTTAAGGGGACAGGCTAACTAGCCTGCTTTGTGCGCTCTTTTTTCCACGGAGCCAACGGAGCCGACGTGCTCCGGGCCGCTCCAATTTTTACAGGGTTGATCGCGAGCACGGTGTGCTTCGGCTCCGGTGATCCGCGTGCACCCTACGCCGGTGCTGGACGTCGCACCCTGACGCAAAATGGCGAAATCATGGCCGATGGCTAACGTTCTACGCGTACACTTCCAACAATTCCCGTGTAATTAAATCCTTGCGCTCGGCTGGAGACTCGAAGACACCAGTGAAATTGTTATATCGCGTTCCAAGATCATTTTTACATTATCAATGTTTAGGTTTTGAAAACAAATTGTTGAAAGCGTGACCGTTCTATGCGTCGCAAGACTCAATTTCGTATGCACAATATGCACTTTTAATGCGCTATTTAATCGAGGTCTAAATTTTACGGATGAATTAAAATTGATTTAGTTTTCGGGGGGATTAATTAATTTTAAATAGTTCATAAAATTGTATGGCTTGTTATTGATATATTTATTAGTATTATAGTTAATTATAATAATAATTGATATTATAATTAATATTATTAATATATTATAATTAATTATAATTAAGATATTATAATTAATAATTGATATTATAGTTAAGGATAATATCGAACTGAATTTAATTGGACGGCTAAAATTGGCACTGTAAATTTAAGATTTAAATTTCGAGGAATTATAAAATTGCACGTTTTTATCTGCAGAAAATTAAGTTAGTGTTTGTCAAGATTATTAGAGCATAATGTAAGTCAGAACGATTATTTGAGATTTGCAGTTGAAACGGCTTCGAGTGCAAAGGGTTAAAAGTTGCTGAATGCTTTAAATCGGCCGGAGGCGCACTCAAAATTAGAATCAGAAACTCTAATTAAATATTGAAAATCATAGCTTAGGAATATCTTTTTCCAACTGTACTATTTTTACATCGAGGCACAGTGCTTTAAAATGCGAACTAAATTTGAAATATATTTCAAGATCTTCGTCGAACCAGAATCGAGAATAAAACGCGCAAATTCGAACAATCTTCTTCATTTAACTCGGTTACTTCTTCGGTCAATTTTACCCAGCGGCGGCTCCCGCCGTGTTAAAAGAGCCGTCCTTAATTGTGAAAATTATACTTCTGCGAAAAGTGAGGATTTTTTTAAGAGTTCCTCTTCTCCGTCATCGTAAATTGTAACTGACATTCTAAATTGGAATACCTTGCTTCCCCTTGGCTATTTTAAATCAAACCGATATTTCAACAAACTTACGGACCCGGTTACCGTGGGCTAGCCAATTACTGCGCCCTTAGTTTATTTTCGAGCGTAACTAACTTTATATTTATCGAATCACAAGCATATCAAACGTTACGATCTAAATTCAACGAATCGTAATTTATTCGTTAAAAGACGGAAATTCACTTTGCAAGACGAGAGTTTTTAAAGTGGCACAAGAATTATCTCAATTTTTTGGCATCGAATGCGCGAAAATGGCGGTTAAATAAAAATAAAAAGAAAAGCATTGAAATGCCAAAGCTGTTTTTAGCAGCGAAAACTCCTTGAAGTCCGCAAACAGGGAGCACAGTTAGGGTAAGTGTGGGCATTGCTGCGGTATTTTATAGTAAAGTAATAAAGTCTAACATTTTATAACGCGTGCAATCTTGTAAAAATGAATCTCATAAATTTTTATATGTTTAAAATTGATACTTTATGTTTTAATTCAATTTTTAATTCAATATACCTAATTTAATATATATCTAATTATACAATTTATATCTAATTTTGACATCGATATATTTAATTTAATACATATTTAAATAAAATAATATTTTAAAAAAACAGACTCAAGGCTCGAATAATCGTACCTNTATAATTAATATTATTAATATATTATAATTAATTATAATTAAGATATTATAATTAATAATTGATATTATAGTTAAGGATAATATCGAACTGAATTTAATTGGACGGCTAAAATTGGCACTGTAAATTTAAGATTTAAATTTCGAGGAATTATAAAATTGCACGTTTTTATCTGCAGAAAATTAAGTTAGTGTTTGTCAAGATTATTAGAGCATAATGTAAGTCAGAACGATTATTTGAGATTTGCAGTTGAAACGGCTTCGAGTGCAAAGGGTTAAAAGTTGCTGAATGCTTTAAATCGGCCGGAGGCGCACTCAAAATTAGAATCAGAAACTCTAATTAAATATTGAAAATCATAGCTTAGGAATATCTTTTTCCAACTGTACTATTTTTACATCGAGGCACAGTGCTTTAAAATGCGAACTAAATTTGAAATATATTTCAAGATCTTCGTCGAACCAGAATCGAGAATAAAACGCGCAAATTCGAACAATCTTCTTCATTTAACTCGGTTACTTCTTCGGTCAATTTTACCCAGCGGCGGCTCCCGCCGTGTTAAAAGAGCCGTCCTTAATTGTGAAAATTATACTTCTGCGAAAAGTGAGGATTTTTTTAAGAGTTCCTCTTCTCCGTCATCGTAAATTGTAACTGACATTCTAAATTGGAATACCTTGCTTCCCCTTGGCTATTTTAAATCAAACCGATATTTCAACAAACTTACGGACCCGGTTACCGTGGGCTAGCCAATTACTGCGCCCTTAGTTTATTTTCGAGCGTAACTAACTTTATATTTATCGAATCACAAGCATATCAAACGTTACGATCTAAATTCAACGAATCGTAATTTATTCGTTAAAAGACGGAAATTCACTTTGCAAGACGAGAGTTTTTAAAGTGGCACAAGAATTATCTCAATTTTTTGGCATCGAATGCGCGAAAATGGCGGTTAAATAAAAATAAAAAGAAAAGCATTGAAATGCCAAAGCTGTTTTTAGCAGCGAAAACTCCTTGAAGTCCGCAAACAGGGAGCACAGTTAGGGTAAGTGTGGGCATTGCTGCGGTATTTTATAGTAAAGTAATAAAGTCTAACATTTTATAACGCGTGCAATCTTGTAAAAATGAATCTCATAAATTTTTATATGTTTAAAATTGATACTTTATGTTTTAATTCAATTTTTAATTCAATATACCTAATTTAATATATATCTAATTATACAATTTATATCTAATTTTGACATCGATATATTTAATTTAATACATATTTAAATAAAATAATATTTTAAAAAAACAGACTCAAGGCTCGAATAATCGTACCTCCTCTTCCCAAATTGTCCACTTTTGTGCGCAATCCGAGCGCGAATTAGGGAGAAATTACTCAAAAAAAAAACCTACACTTATTCTATTAATTTCTCTGCTCTATTGTCGCTCGATTCCGCGACGAGCAGCCCGGAGGAGATACAAAAACGCGCGAGACGACACCAATCAGAATTGTCTCTCTCGGTGTCTCCGGTTTTCGAGACGAACGCCGTAATCGATAACGATCGTCGGACGTGTTCCCGGGATGTGACTGGGCGCGGAACAGTCGTCGTCGGACTTGGACGATCGTCGCGAGAGTTTGCTAACAACCGGAGGCTACAAGTTCGGCCGCGTGCTCGACAATTCATCCAATTAGGAAATTTTTGTCCCGCGCTCACCGACCCGCTTTTTGTCCGCGGGAAAGGAGCTCGCCCTCCCTCGACGAGAGAGGGTGCATTAAAGCGGCTTTCGAGGGAGGCGAGCGCAGCGAGAAAAAGGCAGCGAGAGCAAGGCCGGCAAAGTGAATTCCAACTCGACGGTCTTTGCTGCATTCCCGTCGCGTGTTTTCCGGCCGTTGCGTGTATCAACGGGGGACCAAGGGGGGAACCGGGGGGACGCGAGCTACAAAGCGGGTTGTCTTCCGTCCAAGCCGCTTTGCTTTTTAGCCCGCGGCGAGCGGCGCTTCGTTTTCTTAAATTACGTTCTCGGTGACGCGCGAACAGCATCGCCACGGTGACTGCATCTTGCGTAACGCTTTTTTTTTCAAGCATCGCGAAGTGGACCGGGATCGACGTTTTGATATGTAACCTGACAAATGTCGGGATCTCGTCGAAGCTTTCGCGGACAATTTTTCATTCGAGATTTTCGTGGTTGCTGATCACGAAATTGAAAAGCCGGCGACGCGGAATTTGGAATGGCGGCTTCGATGGACGATCTATAGCAGCCTAAATTATGATAATAATCATAATCTTGACATAATAATAATAATGATAGTAATAATAATCGTATATTCTTTAACGGAACCCTTGCTTGTACGATACATAATGATAGCGAGAACACGAATCCGAAGGCAACGATTCGAGATTCAAAATGGTGGCTTCGACAGACGATATATAGCAGCCTAAATTATAATAATGTTTACCGAACCCTTTGTTATATCAACGAATTTTCGCAAAAAGTCAGGATTTCGTCGAAGCTTTCGTGGCAAATTTTTAATTCAAGGTTTCCGAAGTCGTCGATAACGAGATTGAAAAGCCGACAAGGCGGTATTCAAAATGGCGTCTAAAGCGGTTTAAATAGCAGTCTAAATCATAATAATAATAATAAGAATGCTTTATTCTTTAACAGGATGAGAACCCTTTGTTATACGATACAAAACGACAGCGAGAACACGAATCCGAAAACAACGATTCGAATAACGTTATACAACAAAATAACACCGTTATTATACAATAAAAAATAACAGCGAGTTCACAAGTGATAGTAATAATAGCGATTTCTATCCTCTGCTTAACAGAAATCTTTAATTACAACGATTGATCTCGAATAAATACATTTGACAGTTCCGAAGACGAAAAAGCTACCTGGAAACACCGAAGTGGGAAAACTGACTTTTGACCAAAAATCTTGACCTCCCGATCCCTGTGCATCGTCCCCGAAGGCTTCGTAACAAGATGCTCCCCAAGGCAAGATCAGCCGACCCCAGAAAATTCGACGTAACCATCGTCGAAGAACCGGTTGGTAAACGTTGACACGAACTGATCGATAATCGAGGCCGGGTCAGGCCGGACCCGGGTACAGAATAGATCGAGCAAACAGTACTCACCTAAGGTAAACGGTGACGACGAACTGCGTCCTGCCGTCCCGGGAGTCCGCGGGTTTGGACGGGTGCAGGAAGACCGGTACGTGCAGCCTGGACCTCGGATAAAGCGGGCCATGAGGGACCAGCAGAGTCAACGAGTCGTCGGCCTTGAGCTCCTTGTAATCCGCTCGGTTGGGGGCGAGCGGTATTTGTCCGAGAGGCGTGACGGGCTGGATCTGAACCCTGGGCCTGCAGAATCCTTGGCCGTTGTCCGCGGTGCCGGCATCCTCGGTCCTCGGCTCCAGCACGGAGTAGGCGACCTGCACGAGTCTCGGCAGGCTCTTGGCGACCTTGACCCGGCCGGAAGCGTCCGGAGGTGGTAACGGTGCCCACCAATCGGCGGGTATGGTGATCTGGGCTAGGCAGACTCCGTTCTCTCCGTCGGGGCTGCAGGCGGCCGTCAGGGCGGACGTCGTGGAAGGAGCGGTCGTATAGGCGGATGACGAGGGGGACGAGGGGGACGAGGGCGATGACGGCGAGGAGGAGGACGAGGACGAGGAGGAGGAGGAGGAGGAAGAGGAGGAGTAAGTTCTACCGTTGTTCCTGCTGGCGGTGCTTCTGGCTGGAGTGGCCAGAGTGGCGTGCAGCACCACGCAGACCTTCTGATGCCGGGCGAGGAGCAACTGGCGCCTTCCGCCTGCCTCGCTTCCGGCATGGAAGAGCACTCGCAGCACCGGCGAGTCGCGCGGCACGCTGTTCCCAACCAGATGAGCCGACATGTCCAAGTGACGGGTACCGAGCTCCTGCGCGTCAAGTATCGTCGCCGCCGTCAGATTTCGCCTCGTCTCGGGGCCCGGCAGCGTGTCCAACGGGTCCGGGACTATGTAGCGAGCCGGCACCGTTTGCTTCGTGCTGAACGGACCGTAGGTGGCGCGGACCGAGACCGGCTCGCTCGTCTGAAACACCGCGAACTTGTCGATCGAGAGGACCGAGCCGGGCGGCGGCGACGGCACCCCGTTCCCGCTCGTCGACGTCCCCGTCGACGAACCTCCGGCTCCGCCGCCACCATTGTTCGACGACGGCGAGATCGCCGGGATCGACTCCCCCTGCGACGGGTAGAACTGCTTCGGCGTGTGCTTCAGGAAGAACCCGCCGTCCTTGTTCTCGAAGTGAACTTCCACCGAGGCCGCCACGTCTGAAAGCAAACGATTTTTTACGTGTTATGGGGGTGACGGTATTGGATCGACGTTGCAAAGAATATGGGAGGTCGTGTTAATAATGCGAAACGCGATCAATGTCACCACGATTGATACGGAGTCGATTTGGCTTCGAGCCATCGCTATTGATAAGTCAATTTGACTACAAGTCACCACTATTGATAAGTCAATTTGACTTCAAGTCATCACGATTGATACAGAGTCAATTTGACTTATAGGTTATATAGAGTCAACTTGACTTCGAGTCACCACGATTAATAAGTCAATTTGACTTCGAGTGACCACGATTGATAAGTCAATTTGACTTCAAGTCACCACAATTGACAAGTAAGTTGACTACAAGTCACCACGCTTGATGCGGAGTCGATTTGGCTTTGAATCACCACTATTGATAAGTCAATTTGACTTCAAGTCATCAGGATCGATAATTCAATTTGACTTCACAGTCAGATTGATAATTCAATTTGACTTCACAGTCAGATTGATACAGAGTCAATTTGACTTCACAGTCAGATTGATACAGAGTCAATTCGACTTCAATGTTATACAGAGTCAATTTGACTTCAAATCATCACGATTGATAAGTCAATTTGACTTCAAGTCACCACAATTGATAAGTCAATTAGCCTTCAAATATACCACCGCTAGTGTTGCGAGTCAATTTGACTCGCGTCGCCATATTAAATCATTATCCCGAGAATACTAAATAAAGACGAATTCGTTTACTTCAGTCCTTTGTATTATACTTTCTACGTAACTCACGCCAGGTTTCCGGGTCTTCGAACTCGACGCTGCGCGTCGTTCGAATCGACCAACGTCGTCGGATGCGCTCGCGAACGCAGCGATGGATTTCTGCCGGAACCCCGGCGATGAATGCTAAAGAGTACACGTATCGTTGAATGAAATTCCGCGGTGCACGACGAGCAGAATTGTCTCGCGCGAGCCACCCCGGGGATGGGGATTTTAATTATCCGGCTTCGGACCGGGAGGAATTAGCCTCGCGGGACACACGTGTTTTCTTTAATGCGGTTAACAAATCCGGCGCGCGTCACGGAGCGGCGCGTTTCCATTACGGCCGAGTAATTCTCCGAATTTATATTCGCGTCGGATTAACATAGAAATGAAGTCGTCGTGGGTCGCGTGTGCGTCGCCGTGGCCCGAAGCCCGACGCCCGACTCCCGACGCCCGCCGCGGCGGCATCTTTCTGCTCTATTTCCTAAGTTCCGCCGGCTTATTACACGAGGGAGCCTGGACCGGGAGGCAGCTTGTCCCGGGAAGAATTTGCCGGATGGAAGTTCGAGTGGAAAGTCGTGTCGAAATATCAACGGTTCCCGGGGCCGGAGTGTGCTCGCCGTTATTTTGCTCGCGGTATCGAAGGCTATCACGCTCGCGCGTCGCCCCGATAAATCGAGGAATTCCGGCACTCCGGTTCGATCGCGAGTCACGGGATCGAGTTCGATAAGATGGCCCGGCCCGCCTGCCCGAATTCTCCCCGGCTGAAACAAAGTTCGCGGCCCGGAAAGTCCGCACAGGTGAACGGAGAAGTTGTAAATCGGCGGGCTGGCGGAGGCGGGCCGAGGCGTGGGGCGGCGCGACTGCGCTCGATCCGCACATAAATTTCCCGGGAAATCCTCCATTAAGCGGCAGCTGCCCGCACACCCCGCCCCCGGCCACGGCCCGGCCCGTAAAATAGAGGAAAACGCGCGTGGAAATGTGAGGCCAATTCGGCCTCCGCCGCCGCTTATCGCTCGCTCTACGCGCTTCTGTCTCGCTGAAACGACTCGATTTTCCTCCGGGGTGAGGGAGGGGGGAAGCGCCGAGAGCACCCGTTAATTCATTCCTGATCGATCGCCCTATGATTCGATCTCTCCGCCGCCCACAGACCGGTCCGCCGTGTACGAGAAACGAGACGCCGCGTGTTCGACTTTCGAACCAATTGTTCGGCGACCTCCGCCGATCGACGAGTAAATTATACAAATGCGAACGCTAATTTCCGAGGAAATCGACGGAGGCGCGGTTACAATAAACCTCGCGGTCGATATCAGTTGCAATAAAACTAAAGGGTTGGTTATAATAAACCTCGCGATCGATGTTAATTGCGATAAACCTAAATGATAAATTTTATAAATATCTCTCAGGATTTAATTATCAGAAAATCAGCTTATATCTGTTCATGATGCCATTTGTTCACGAGCGTCAAATAATATTGTTTCATTACATTCATCAAAAATTCCGTTGAATCAAGAATCGTCGACGATTCGCAAATCGTCGCAAGAATGACAGATAATACTGAATCGGAAGACACCGCGGTCAAAGTGACCGCTTTCTTAATTTGCAATTCTGCAAAGTTCCGAGACTCTTTCGTGGAAAACGCTTGAATAAGTTATATTATTGGAAAGTTTTATATATTATTTTATATTATTTATATATTATTATTATGTATATAAAATATATATATATTTTTTATATTATTATTATATATTTTATATATTATTGGAGCAAGTTTTATAATAAAAGCTTCACAAATTCTAAATAAATTCGGTCTTCGTGAAGCAGTACATACCAGTCAGTATTACTGCTTGGTAAGTGTAGCGTTAAACTTTAACCACTAATTTTTCGGTCACACGAACGCGTTTCAACATTTGCAGGTTTACGGAGACCGGTTACACGATTTTGCGTCCGCGATGCTTCCGTTCGGCCGCGCGAATTTATTTGCAACTAAGCTTCTCTCTCTCTCTTAACGCTACGCGGAGCGTGGACACGCCGTGTACAGATGCCCGAGATCAAAAGATCGAGGAAAAGAGGATCGGCGAATCGATCACGGTCCGAATAAACAGCCAAAGGATAATACAGCGCTCGCGATTCCGGCGGAACCCGTCGGGATAGATGGAATACGGGATATGTGTATGCGCGACGGGATATCGATCGTGGTATCACACAGGAGCACGAGGCAATATACTGTCGAACAATTTATTCGGCGTTACAGCACATGTGTGTCGCTGTTGCATCGCGGCTGCGTGTCCAGTCGCGAGCGATGACCGGCGATATCGGGGCTTCACTTGTAAGGAGGCACGTCGAACCACTGGTACTTTTTCGGTTGGCTCGTGTCCAGCTCGTACTCCAAACACCGTCGTGGAAAGCTGTCGGAGATGGTTAGAGGTCCTCTCTTTAAACTGGCTGAAAACTCGGCCGTTCCTACGGACGGAGCTGCGGCCGGCCCGGCCCGGCTCGCGAATATCCCGAGCAATTAAACGCTAGATCAGGCATGGGCAACGGTGCTCTTTGCAAACCGCCTCGAAGAACAAAAACCAACAAAACTGCCTCCGATAGCAGGCTGTCTACTCCGTGGGCGTGGCTCCGGTGCTCTCGATTTTACCCGAGCGCACGCTGCACGAAGAATAGGTGGACCGACGGAGTATTATTCTTTTTTTTTTATTTATTGTTTTTTCTTTTTCGTTATTTTTCGTGTTCATCTTAGAACGGCGATGTGGGTGAAATTCACTCGCAACGATAGCGGCGATGCACGTCGAATTGAGTCGGTATCGTTGAAACATGAGTGACATGACGGCGAATGGTGATCAATAATGCTGGTTTGAAGTCAAATTGACTTGTCGATAATCATGACTTTTAGTCAAATTGACACGGTATTGATTAATGGCGATCTTCGAAGTTAAATTGACTCCGTATCGATTAATGGTGACGCGACGTCGAATTGACTCCGTGTCGCTTTGACACCGAGTTAGTTTGACATCGAGTCATCGATGCTGAGATGGAGTCAATTTGACTTCAAGCCAACACGATTGATACGGAGTCAATTCAACGTCAACTTAATATTATTGATACAAAGTCAATTCGATGTCAAATCTCCGTGACAGATGAGTCAATTTGACTTCAAATCACCACGATCGATAATTCAATTTAACTTCACGTCTCCACGATTAATACAGAGTCAATTTAACTTCGAGTCACCACTATTGATAATTCAATTCGGCTTTATGTCACCACGATTGATAAAGAGTCAATCTGAGTTCGAGTCACAACGACTGATAAGTCAATTTAACTTCAAGTCATCATGATTGATAATTCAATTTGACTTCAAGTTACCACTATCGATGAATCGATTTGACTTCAGATCACCAAAATTAATACTGAGTAAATTTGACTTCAAGTCACCATTACCGATAAGTCAATTTAACTTCAAATCATCACGATTGATAATTCAATTTAACTTCACGCCTCCACGATTAATACAGAGTCAATCTGACTTCGTCCTCCATTATTGATAATTCAATTCGGCTTTATGTCACCTCGATTGATGAAGAATCAATCTGAGTTCGAGTCACAACGACTGATAAGTTAATTTAACTTCAAGTAATCATGATTGATAATTCAATTTGACTTCAAGTCACCACGATTGATACAGAATCGATCTGACTTCGAGTCACCACTATTGATAACTCAATTTAACATCAAGTCATTATTATTGATATGAAGAAATCAATTTGACGGCAAGTCACCATGATTGATACGAGGTCAATTTGAGAAACAGTATTAACTAACAATATTAACTACTAATATAATAAATGCAATCAATTGCTGTGACAAAATGTACTTCCCAAAAAAATAAAAAATAAAGCAACTAAACACAGAAGAAAACTCAATCGACGCTATGCATCTTCCAAATGATTTAAAGTAGCATCAGACAGCTCGTTCAGCTTTTTCGTTATCTTATGCTAAACGAAACTGTCCCATTCAATGCCCCCTATCTTCTTACTAGTTTTTACCTCGCGACCAACACACCCACGCGTCGTCGCGGTGACGCCACGCATTGTCCGCGATGCAACGCGTGCACACGCAAGCTCTCGGTACGCGTTCCTCGCAGGAGCACCTAGCGAGCCGAGCCAGAAATACCTCGTCAAGATCGCAGGATCGGGGACGAGGCTCGTCCGTCCACCTAATTCTTCTAACACAGTTCCCGAAGGACGCACTGTGCCTATGCCTGCGCTAGACGCCCTTAGAGCCGACGAACACTTACGTAACCGGGCGTCTGCAGCCGACAATGGGGTAGTCCTCGCGGTAGCACTTCGTGTTCAGGATGCTGAAATAGAGGAAGCCGATTCGACGGCCAGCCCCCTCCTCGGACCGGTGCAGGCAGTCGTAGAACTTCTCGTCGCACGAGCATTCCAACCTGCTCCCAGCAAACCAGCCGATTTGATTTCCGACATCGATAAACCATTCTCGTTCCTGTTACGCCCACGCGCCGCGCCGGGATACGCGCCCGGTATGCGAGGAGAAGCTCGGGCCCCGATTAATTCGCCGCCGTGCGGACCCGACAGCCGGCGAGCCGCTGATCTCGACCCGGCCGCCGGTTTCCGATAGTCCGGCCGTGTGTGATTCATGCGAGGCCAAGACCCGCCCGACACGCCTACAACTCGCGCGCGATTCCTCTCCGGACACGCGACCCGCAAAAATCGTACGCGCGCGCGTGGGCGTCCGCGATCGGAATCGCGAGCCTCTATCCGCTTCGAACTCGTCGCGCCTAGGCGGATATCTCGATGATATCGACGGCGGTGGAGGCCCCTTGCTCCCGCTTAGGCCCGCGGAACGATCGGTCAGCGAGATAGAGAAATTACTTTGCCTCGCGATTGGCGCCCGATTCGTCGATCGGACGGGATGCAACGCGAACGGGATGCCCGATAAGATGATAAGACGACGTGGACTGCTTGTTTTAGAACGGAGTCGAGAATCATTTCGTCCGGACGACGGGGCAGCGGACGAGGATTTAACGAATATTATTTTTTTACGGTAGTAGTGAGTATGGTAAATTCTTTATAATTTTTTCATTTTGAGTTTGTGAACGAAAATGGAGAATTTGGGGAGAGGAGATACGATTGTTCGAGCCTCGGACGTCGTTTTTATGTTTTCAGTAATGTCTCTCTCATTGACGCACAGATTGTCCACGAAAATGGGCAATTTGGGAAAAGGAGATACGATTATTTTGAGCCTCGCGGCTCGTTTTTATAGTTGTTTGCAATTCATAGCTACGAAAACGAGCCGCGAGGCTCGAAATAATCGTATCTCCTCTTCCCAAATCGTCCACTTTTATGCACAATTTATGCGTCAGTTAGGGAGACATCGCTGTATCGACAATCGACAAAGAAAAAATTGGGGAGAATATACCGTGCAAATGTCCGACCGAATAAAAATCGATCCGGATCAAAATTCGTTCGAACGAAATTTTATTCGCCACCGTCGAATAAATATTCGACCGAGTAAATGATTCAACCGAATAAATCTAGACAGCAATTCATTCGAACGAAATTTTCATTCGACCCGGGATACTCGATCGAACGATCCAGATGAAAATTTGTCCGAACAAGAATCCATTCGAACAAGAATTTACTCGTACTTTCCCGCGAGGGTAGCTCGATTTGGGTCGAAAAAAATCGTCGATTTGGCGGCACGTTGTCGGCGACGCGAGAACGCAGGAGCTCTCATGGATGTTCCGACACCGATATATCACCCGAACGAGCCGAAGAGGAAAGGCGGCGGCGGATGCACCGCGGCGCGGAGTCAGCGACCGGAATTTCAGACCCGAAGACGACCGGCGGCGTCTTTAGAGGGAAAACCGTGCTGGCTGTGAAAAAAGCAGCCCGCGGAGCAGCCTGAAGAAGAAGAGAAAGGAGAAGGAGAACTAGCCAAAGAAGAAGAAGACGAAGAAGAAGAAGAGGAAAAGAAGGTAGAAGGGAAAAAAACAGAAGAAGAAGAAAAAGGGGAAAAGAAGGTAGAAGAGAAAGAGAAAGAAATAGAAGAAGAAGAAGAAGAAGAAGGGGAAAAGAAGGTAGAAGAGAAAGAAATAGAAGAAGAAGAAGAGGAAAAAGAAGGTAAAAGAGAAAGAAACAAAAGAAGAAGAAGAAATTGGGAAAAGAAGGTAGAAGAGAAAGAAACAAAAAAAGAAGAAATTGGGAAAATAAGGTAGAAGAGAAAGAAACAGAAGAAGAAGAAGAGGAAAAGAAGGTAGAAAAGAAAGAAACAGAAGAAGAAAAAGAGGAAAAGAAGGTAGGAGAGAAAGAAATAGAAGAAGAAGAGGAAAAAGAAGGTAGAAGAGAAAGAAGCAGACGAAGAACTAATTTAAAGCGGCCACCGCCTCGAGTCACGGCCGCGTCGGACGAAAGTTCGCCGGCGAAATAGCTTGTCGGGGCGCGTCGGGACGCGGTGACCGTGTCGATCCAAGTCGAATATCAAGTTTGGAAAAGAACCTGGTGTAGAAGCTGGGATTAGTGAGCCCGTGCTTGGTCTCGCCGGCCTCGATCACGTCTGCGCACATATCGTGTTCGCGGCAGCAGGCGTCGGACTCCTTATGTTTGCCGAGGTCGTCCGGTCCCGCCGCCACGTTACCGCTTCCGCACCATTTCGTCCCTGTCGGCAGGAAGCACCGGGATAGCAAGCAGGGTGGAAGCTCGTTAGGAGCACGCGGCTCCTCGGTGCGATCCCATCGCCGGGCGCTGCGACGACGATCTTTTATGCTCGCCGTAGCCCCGAGGCTCTCCCTCTCTGGAGCGCCCGGTCGTCGCGCGTCCTCGCTTACCTGGATAGATCAGGTTTATTCTCTCGTCGAATGAGATTGGGATCTCGTCGAGATCGTCGCTGTCGATTCTATTGTTGATGTCATACTGAACCCTCCATGCGTGGGCCCGGGCGTGGATCAGCAGCCAGCAGCAGCACGCGAGAACCGTCGACGACGGCCAGGAGGATCCCTGCATCGCGCGTTGCTTTCGAGGGGCGGCGCGGGTTAGAGGACGGCAGGAGAGGACGTCTGCCGAGAGGAGGCGGCCTTTCAAGCCGAATCGCGCGAGCTTTTCAACCGCGATCGAGAGCACGGAAGCTTGTAACGCCTTTGTCGAGGACGAGAGCACCGTGGAAAACCGGGAGCCGGGAGCCGTGCGCCGCGTCGCCGAGCTGAAAGACGCCGCCGTTTCAGCCCTGAGACCCCGAAAGAGCCCATGACTTTTAATGTCACGCACATGGGAGACGTACCTTAAGACCCGCCTCTCTCTCTCTCTCTCTCGTCCGGCACAGTCTCTCTGGCTGGCGAAAAAAGGAACACCGGAGTCCGACGACGGGAAAAGAGCGGGTTCCTTCCGGCGGTGTTCGCGGAACGAGAACAACCGCTGCCGGTCGGTTCCCGTGACTTATATGCATGCCAGCCGAGCCGGCCCTCTTCGGCCCGATCCCCTGGCCGCATCTAATCGCGGGAATTACGGGAAACGGACGCGCCGCTTGCGGCCCGGCACCCGATAATCGCCGGACGATGATTCGGCACGCGGAAAAACAAGGCCGGAAACGGCGCTCGGAACTCCGGCGTCCTCCACGGAATCCGAAATCCGAGTCGTCGTCGTCGTCGACGGCTGGCGCGAGCTCGACGAACCGACTGGTTCCCGTAATTTATGCCGCGGTGAAATGGCTCGTCCATATGACCCGCGTGGCCGACAGTCTGCGAGAGCCAAGGCGTCGATTTTCATTTCTCGACCCGTCGTCGATCGCGCCGGAAAATCGCGCGACGATCCACCGAAATTCGCGCCGGACTTTACGCACGTGTTTCTGCGAACGCCGAGAGGGAAGCAAAGACAAATTGTCGCGATTACGACAAGCGCGATTAGCGCTGGGAACTGCAACGATAAGAAGGGAGATAAGAAGTTATCCGGGTTAGATTTTACGTATCTCGACGATTTCAAACCACGTCGTTCCGCGGGCTAAATAATTAACGCGCTCGTAAATCTCCTGGGTTTCAACTTCTTCTCTGCCGCTTCTTCGAGGGTCGGTAGCAGGGTGGGAAGCGTCGCGGGAGTAGTTCATTTTGATTTGTCTTTTACCGCGAAACCGATTGTACTACTGGTGCAATTTAATTATGTTAAACTGGCTTAAATATCGTTTGAAATTGTGGGTCAATAAATAAATGTCTATTATACTTGTTTCGAGTTATACGTCGATAAATAGATGTCTGTTAAACTGTTTGAAATGATAAAATTCTAAATTATAAATCCATACATAAATGTCTATTGCATTGTTCTAATTTACGAAGTCAATAAATAAATTTCTATTGTACTGTTCTAATTTGTAAATCCGTAAATAAATGTCTACTGTACTGTTCTAATTTATAAGTCAATAAATAAATGTCTATTGCACTGTTCTAACTCATAAATCAATAAATAAATGTCTACTGTACTGTTCTGATTTATAAGTCAATATATAAATGTCTATTATACCGTTCTAATTCATAGGTCGATAAATAAATTTCTATCATGCTGTTCTAATTCATAAATCAATAAATAAATGTCTATCGCACTGTCCTAAATTATAAGTTAACAAATAAATGTCTACTATATTATTCTAAATAATAAAACCATAAATAAACGTCTATTATACTATCCTAAATTACAAGTCAATTACACAGTTTAACATAATCAACCCCCGGCTGTCACACGACCTGTCCGTAGCACGCGTGGAATACAATTTCCAAACAACTGTCACTCAGAAACAAGCAGTCCAATCGATACCCAAAAATTTGATAATACAATTCGAACATTCTAGAACATCGTTACCTTTATTAGAACTCGACATCTCGCTTCCAAGTATATTCAATTAATTTCGCGAATTTCGCTGTTTCGAAACGAAACGATGTCAGTCATTTTGACACAGTGCGACGATGCGTGTGCACGTATGTACGTATCTGTGTTAAATTGTAATATAATATAATTGTTTCTGTGAACAAAAATAGAATCAATAAAAATATTCTCGTGATTGGATTTAACCTCGGACCAAAAACTCTGCGTTCAGTGCCTTTGTTTGTCTCTGCGCCCTGAACCGCTATCGAGAGAGTTGGCCATTTGAAACAACTTTTTCCTTTACAAAAATTTTCTTCGAGGCATCATTAACGAGTTATTAACGAAAAACAGTCACCAATGAGAGGCGAGATCGGCTGGCGCGAACTGGGATATTTTTAGGAAGAGTAATCATAACATTTACAAAAAATCGATCTACACGGGCACCCCAATCTATCAGGAAATCCATCCTACTAGTCTCAGTAACTGGTCCAAAATTTTGCTATCGACCTAGGGGGACCAGTTACTGAGACTAGTGGGATGGATTTCCGAACAGATGACAAAAATCCCGAAAATGAATTCTACTAGTCTCAGTAACTGGTCCAAAATTTTGCTATCGACCTAGGGGGACCAGTTACTGAGACTAGTGGGATGGATTTCCGAACAGATGACAAAAATCCCGAAAATGAATTCTACTAGTCTCAGTAACTGGTCCAAAATTTTGCTATCGACCTAGGGGGACCAGTTACTGAGACTAGTGGGATGGATTTCCGGACAGATGACAAAAATCCCGAAAATGAATTCTACTAGTCTCAGTAACTGGTCCACCTAGGCCGATAGCAAGATTTTGGACCAGTTACTGAGACTAGTAGGATGGATTTCCGGACAGATGACAAAAATCCCGAAAATGAATTCTACTAGTCTCAGTAACTGGTCCACCTAGGCCGATAGCAAGATTTTGGACCAGTTACTGAGACTAGTAGGATGGATTTCCGGACAGATGACAAAAATCCCGAAAATGAATTCTACTAGTCTCAGTAACTGGTCCACCTAGGCCGATAGCAAGATTTTGGACCAGTTACTGAGACTAGTAGGATGGATTTCCGGACAGATGACAAAAATCCCGAAAATGAATTCTACTAGTCTCAGTAACTGGTCCACCTAGGCCGATAGCAAGATTTTGGACCAGTTACTGAGACTAGTAGGATGGATTTCCGGACAGATGACAAAAATCCCGAAAATGAATTCTACTAGTCTCAGTAACTGGTCCACCTAGGCCGATAGCAAGATTTTGGACCAGTTACTGAGACTAGTAGGATGGATTTCCGGACAGATGACAAAAATCCCGAAAATGAATTCTACTAGTCTCAGTAACTGGTCCACCTAGGCCGATAGCAAGATTTTGGACCAGTTACTGAGACTAGTAGGATGGATTTCCGGACAGATGACAAAAATCCCGGAAATCCATCCTACTAGTCTCAGTAACTGGTCCACCTAGGCCGATAGCAAGATTTTGGACTAGTTACTGAGACTAGTAGAATTCATTTTCGAGATTTTTGGGATCTGCCCGGAAATCCATCCCACTAGTCTCAGTAACTGGTCCACTTAGATCTAGAGCAAAATTTTGGACCAGTTACTGAAACTAGTAGGATGGATTTCCTGATAGATTGGGGTGCCAGTGTAGATCGATTTTTTGTAAATGTTAAGATCACTCTTGCTAAAAATATCCCAGTTCCGCCCATTGGCACGGCTGCCTCGCGCCAGCCGATCTCGCCTCTCATTGGTCACTGTTTTTCGTTAATAACTCGTGAACAAAGCCACGGATTGCATTTTCGTTAAGGAAAAAGTTACTTCAAATGATCTCAGGAACTCCCTGTTTCCGGATTACGACACATTTTCGAAACGACGGATTACGAAAATTTCCTCGAAATCGATGCGATCAGTCCTCGGCGTCGTCGAAGCAAGTGGCTTGCAGATCGGGGCACAGGAAGTGGGTGATGTTCCTCGGGCCGACCAACCCTTGCTGTCGCCGGGCACAGTCCGTCATCCAGAGTGCGACGGCGGTGACATGGTTGCTGCAGATCGGAGCCCCGATCCCCGGCACTTTGAACGCCGTAGGCAGCCGGCCCTCGCTTTGCTCCGTCTTCATCCTCTCGAGGAACTCGCCGAAGGGGTCTGGCGGCGGCGGCGTGGGTCCTCTCGAGGGCTCGCGCGCCGGCTCCAGACACTCGCAGATGCCCCGAAGAATGTTCTCGAGCCCGATTGGCACGTAATCGTCCACCTCGTCGAAGCTGATCAGGCTCGCCTCGCCCTCCGCAGCCCCGAACTCCGTGTACAGGCTGTCGTCCCTGTCCTCCGAGGCTTCGTAGTCCCCGGGAACATCCGCGAACGCGTCCTCGTCTTCTTCCGGTCGGCGATCGCCGGTCGGCGCGGACTTCGATCTGGCCAGCTTGATAGGCTGAGCGAGCGAAATTCGCAGCCGGCGGGCGGCTCGATTAATTTCCTCGTTCAATTCGCTGGATAAACACGGGCCGCTGGCGGCGCGGCGCGGCGCGGCGCGACGCGCGGTCGGAAAAGCGATTGGTCGATTCGGAAAAAACCGGGATTCAGAAGGAACGGCGGCGAGCAAACACCAAACTCGTTTCCACGGGGCAAATGAAAAGGGACCCGGTTTTTCCGAGCGGTCTCTCCACGGCACGGGGAAATCAGATATTCCATCTGCGCCGGCTTGTATCGCTCCGCTCGGCCTTAATTAAGTCGCGAAACTTTGATCGACCGGCTGCATTTTTCATGCGACCCGTTGTCGGGTCGCGTTCGCGGCCGCGCCCTTTCCCTTCGCTACCAACCTCCGTCCCGCTGGCCGAGGAGCCTTTCGGCTGGACCGACAGCATCTGGACTCCCTCGAGGGGCAAATCGTTCCCGTCGACCTCGGACGGCCTTTGATCGACCACGTCGTAGTCCTTCAGGATCGTCAACGCTCCCGAGGAGCCGGTCTCGCTCGACGACAGACGGCACGCGTCCGTTACCTGGTCCTCCTGCGTGCCCTAAATTTCGTTCCGCGCGAACGTAACAGGATTTCCTGTTCTCTGCTTAGGTAAACTGACCTAACTAACGTTTCTGATCATCCAGAAAATCTTTAAATCGATCAAATCGCTTTTAAACAAGCGAGAACAAGTGATTGGAATTTCGTTTGGAATTCTACGAGATATGGTATAGCAAATTCTCCCTAGTTGAAGCTCAGATTGTACGAGAGAATGGAGAAATTGTGAAGAGGAGATATGATTATAGGAGTCTTTTACGATTAGTCCATTCTTGTGTATAATCTGTGCGTCAATTAGGGAGAATTTACTTACCTTGCGGCTTGTTTTTATGGTTAACGATTTGATCGAATTGATTGGCTCGTTTTTATAGTTATTGACTATATAATCGTCATATAAAATATATAATCAACTAGATCACATTTTCACCACGAATTATAAATACAGTAAATTTCCCTTAATTTATTGGTCGTTTTTATAGTTATTCACTATATAACCGTTACATAAAACATATAATCGAAATTAATTGAAATATATAATGGAATATATTTTTTTATTAAATTATTCCATTATATATTTCAATTAATTTCGATTATATATTATATATATTATATTATGTAACGGTTATATAGTCAACAACTCTATAAAAACGAGCCAATAAATTAGGGAGAATTTACTGTACTCCATAATTCGTGGTGAAAATGTGATCTGGATAATTATATATTTTACATAACGATTATATAGTCAACAGCTATAAAAACGAGCCAATCAATTAGGGAGAATTTACTGTACTTCCATAATTCATGATACAAATTGGATCTGATTGATTCCACGGCTGGGAATAAGACGAAAATCAAGAACGACGAAATCACGTGGAAGGCTTCGTCGTCGAGGAAATCAAATTTAACTATATAAATGCATTATATATGCATTTTGAACGATACCTTGACTGCAGACAATTAGCTAAACTCTGTGAAAAATACACTGATCAGTTTAATCCGAATGCACTCTCGAAGCCGAATTAACGCGAAATTTAAAATAGTTCCTCCGATCCACGGTTTCTACATTTTACATGACCCGATGCATTTTTTATGCATGTGAAATTGTATATTGTGAACCGTGCAACAGTTGCGCTTTCAACGGGGCTCTTTAAATATAAACAAATTAGATCAATTAGATTATTTTCAGACGTGACATAACAATTTCTAACGGCGCCACGGAGTCGTCACTGGATTGCAAAGGGTTAATGCCCCGCGTTTAACGTGTTCTTAAATCGTGTTCCGATAGCAAGCGAGCCCTGCAAGCATTGTACCCTGTGGAAAACCGGTCGCCACGGCGGTCTGTAACGAAATCGGTAACATCGGCAATATAAATAACCGACTAACGATAAATATTAAGGAGGCGTGTACTCGGTTGACATATAAATTTAATCATCTCGAAAACTAAGTCGATTTCCGTCCTATTTCGAGCCGCGGAATCTACCCGACCCAATTCGCGCTGTGAATTATGAAACACCCTGTACAGAATATTCTATGTTCGCTTAACGGATTCAGTTGGAAAGCCGAGTACGAAGAAATCTCTTCCAGGCGTGCCAACGTTTCTACTTTTAAACGCATAAATATATTGGGTTGGCAACTAAGTAATTGCCGATTTGTTCAATGAAACAAAAAATTTTTTTTTACTTGGAACGAAGTTTAATCTGTAATGTATTTTCCGTTTCGTCCGATGACCTTTTGCCATCTCTCCGACAACTTGAAAATGCCACGCTCGTAGAAAGTCTGATCCTTTTCGGCCAAAAACTGAGTTAAGCGAGATTTTACAGCGTCATCGTCGTTAAAAGTTTTACCACGAAGGGAGTTGTCCAGGGATCGAAATAAGTGGTGATCCGATGGCGCGAGATCGGGGCTGTATGGTGGGTGTAACATCGATTCCCAATCAATATCCATGAATTTTTGCCGAGTGGACAAAGACGTGTGCGGCCTAGCATTGTCCTGCTGGAAAATGACACCTTTACGATCGACCGATTCTGGTCGCTTTTCCTTGACCGCTGCATTCAATTTGTCCAGTCGCTAACATTCACGGATAATAAGAAATAACATAATAATAATAATAATAATTTTATAATATAACATTTACGGATATTATAAAAATGGGAGTGAGAGACATCTATAACTGAAATCGGCAATTACTTAGTTGCCAACCCAATAGATCCCGCCGACAATGGCTCGCGCCCCGTTCGCGGAGGAAAGTACGCGGAGAATCAAAAGCGAGCGCACGCTCCTCCCCTGACATTATTGGCCCGGGATCTCCACGGGCTAAAGGTGCATACTTCTCGTTTGCGTGGGCGTGTACCCGCTTTTGGTCCTCCTACGCGGGCCCGCTCGATCCACGCGGCCGCATTATTTTCTCGCTTCTTCGCGGCGCGGAACGAAACGACGAGCGGAGAGCGTGCCTGGTACTGCGTGCTCTCTCGATCATCGTCGAAAAGGCTTCCGTCATTACTCGGGAAATTCTGTGCTCGCCGATAGAGGCATCCCTTCTTTTGCAACCAACGATGCGTTAAACGGATCTCTAGGTTCACGGAGCACCGAAAGTAACTGGCATTTTTCTTTGGTTTAAAGCGTCTGCGATTTTTATCGTGATGCACGCTGTAATGGTATTTTGACGCGATGATTCGAGATCGATTTAAGAATCGATCTTTGGATGGTTCGATTCAAGATCGATTTAAGAATCGATCTTTGACGTTGCGATTCAAAAACGATCCAAAACTCGATCTTTGACGTTACGATCCAAAACTCGATCTTTGACGTTACGATTCAGAATCGATTCAAGAATCGCGGCGATTTAGAATCGATTTAAGAATCGATTCAATAATCGATCTTTGATATTGCGATTCAGAATCGGTCCAATAATCGATCTTTGATATTGCGATTCAGAATCGATTCAAGAATCGATCTTCGACTTTACGATTCAGGATCGATTGAAGAATCGATTCAACAATCGATCTTCGACGTTACGATTCAGGATCGATTGAAAAATCGATTCAAGAATCGATCTTCGAAGAGATTGCGATTCAGTATCGATTTAAGAATCGATCTTCGATATTGCGATCCAAGATCGTTCCAATAATCGATCTTTGGAGACGTTGTGATTCAGAATCGATCTTCGACATTGTGATTCAGAATCGATCTTTGACATTGCGACTCAGAATCGAGTTTTGATATTGCGATTCAGGATCGATCGAAGAATCGATCTTCGACGTTGCGGTCCAAGATCGTTCCAAGAATCGATCTTTGAAGACGTCGCGATTCAGAATCGCTCTTTCACGTAGCTCTTTCACGAAATCGATTCAAGAATCGATCTTCGACACTGCGATTCAGAGTCGATCGCGACCCGCAACGTTCCGCAATCGACTGCGCCGCGAGCTTATAGAATCGACTCATTTTTCGGACAATTTGCGTTCGACCACGATTAATGGAACGGAAAAGGTTTCGAGCAAACTCGAACGCTCGGACCGCCGTCTCGCCCCCCCCCCCCCCCC